CCCCCCCCTCCCTCCTTCCAGCTCCCGACTACGACAAGAGCCAATGGATCAACGAGAAGGAGAAGCTGGGGCTGGATTTCCCCAACGTAGGTGGTCTCGAGCTGGGGGTGGGGTTTTGGGGTGGTGGTGGTGGTTATGGGGTGGGTGCCCTGGTGGCCCCATTGCCCTGGTGGCCCCATGCCTTGGTGTCCCCTCCAGCTCCCTTACTTCATTGATGGCACCACCAAGCTGACGCAGAGCAATGCCATCATGCGCTACATCGCCCGCAAGCACAAGATGTGTGAGTGGTGGGGTGGGCTTGGACTGGGGTGGGCTTGGACATGGGCTGGGAGTTGGGTTGGGTTGGGTTTGGCTTGGACATGGGGTAGAAGTTGGGTTGGAGTTAGCTTGGACACGGGGTGGGCTTGGGCTTGGAGGTGGGTTGGACTTGGGTTGGGGTGGGATTGGTCTTGGGGTGGGCTTGGGTTTAGAGATGGCTTGGAGTTGGATTTGGGGTGGACTTGGGGTTAGCTTGGACACGGGGTGGGCTTGGTCTTGCGGTGGGCTTGGGTTTAGAGATGGCTTGGAGTTGGACTTGGGGTGGGGTGGGATTGGTCTTGGAGTGGGCTTGGGTTTAGAGATGGTTTGGGCCTGGGCTTGGGGTTGGAGTTGGGCTTGGGGTTAGCTTGGACTTGGGGTGGGCTTGGTCTTGGAGGTGGGCTGGACTTGGGTTAGGGTGGGATTGGTCTTGGGGTGGGCTTGGGTTTAGAGACGGTTGGGCCTGGGGTTGGAGTTGGAGTTGGACTTGGGGTTAGCTTGGACTTGGGGTGGGATTGGTCTTGGAGTGGGCTTGGGTTTAGAGATGGCTTGGAGTTGGACTTGGGGTGGGCTTGGGGTTAGCTTGGACTTGGGTGGGCTTGGTCTTGGAGGTGGGTTGGACTTGGGTTGGGGTGGGATTGGTCTTGGGGTGGGCTGGGGTTTAGAGATGGTTTGGGCTTGGACTTGGGGTGGGCTTGGGGTTAGCTTGGACACGGGGTGGGCTTGGTCTTGGAGGTGGGTTGGATTTGGGTTGGGGTGGGATTGGTCTTGGGGTGGGCTTGGGTTTAGAGATGGTTTGGGTCTGGGCTGGGGTTGGAGTTGGACTTGGGGTTGGAGTTGGACTTGGGGTTAGCTTGGACACGAGGTGGGATTGGTCTTGGGGTGGGATTGGGTTTAGAGATGGCTTGGTTGGCTTGGACTTGGGCTTGGAGTTGGGGTTGGTCTTGGGGTGGGCTTGGGTTTAGAGATGGTTTGGGTCTGGGCTGGGGTTGGAGTTGGACTTGGGGTTGGAGTTGGACTTGGGGTTAGCTTGGACACGAGGTGGGATTGGTCTTGGGGTGGGATTGGGTTTAGAGATGGCTTGGTTGGCTTGGACTTGGGCTTGGAGTTGGGGTTGGTGTGAGAGGGGGGTTGGCTTGGGGACCCCCAGTGCTGACGTGTCCCCATCCTGCAGGTGGGGAGACAGAGGAGGAGATCCTCCGCGTGGACATGCTGGAGAACCAGATCATGGATTTCCGCATGAGCCTGGTGATGGTCTGCTACAACCCCGACTTCGTGAGTGCCCCTCTTCTCTAGGGTTTGGTGACCGTGCTCCGGGGTCCTCCCTGGCCATGCCTTGGGTTCTATCAGCATCGGGGACCCCACGTGGGGAAGGGGGGACACCAGTGTCACCTCTCCACCCCTTCCTCCCGCAGGAGAAGCTCAAGCCGGGCTACCTGGAGCAGCTCCCGGGGAAGCTGAAGCTCTTCTCCAACTTCTTGGGGGACAGAAAGTGGTTTGCAGGAGAGAAGGTACCACCAGGACCTTGGAGGGTGGCGATGGGAGCTGGGGAGGGGGTTTGTCCTCACCATGTGTCCCCCCCCCCAGCTCACCTTCGTGGACTTCCTCATGTTTGACGTCCTGGAGCAGAACCGCATCTTCGAACCCAAGTGCTTGGAGCCCTTCAAGAACCTCAAGGACTTCATGGACCGCTTTGGGGTGAGCGGGGGCCACCTTGGCCATCCCCCTCCCTTCTTTTGGGTGGTGGGGGGGACACACCCAATGGTGGGGAAGGGTCATGGTGGGCTGGGTCCCTGACGTTCTTCTTACCCCCCCACCCCAGGCCCTGGAGAAGGTGGCTGCCTACATGAAGTCCAGCCGCTTCCTGAAGATGCCCATCAACAACAAGATGGCCAAATGGGGCAACAAGAAGGAGTAGGGGACCAATGTGGGGCAAGGGGACCCCCCCCCACCCCCCAAACCTTGGGTCCTGACCTCCCCCCAAACCCCCCAACACCCTCCATCACGGGGTGGGGTGGGTGGTGCCGGCGTGAAGCCCCCCAACCCAATAAAGTGCTTTAGATGTAGCACCTTGAGCCCCCTGTGGTGTGTGTGTGGGGGGATGAACTGGGTTGCCCCCCCCCC